CAGCCGGCCCCATAGACCAATGCCGGCCCCCGTCCCGAATGGGAAACATAAAAAAAAAAAATATTAGTAAAATTCTAGAAATCCAAGTTAAAAACACGGATAGGGGAGGAGAACCGTTAGTACTTGGTCTTCAGTCCTCCCTCACGGGCCCGCGGCCGGGTCCCCTCAACAAAACTAAGGGGGATAGTCCCGTGGGACTCTCAACCCCTCAGTTCACTCCCAAGTATTCTCCTCCGCTGCCCCAATGCTGGCTGCTGGCCTCGATCCCGGGATCCGCCTGGTGAAAACTCAGTGATGTAACCTATAGGGCTAAGCCCAAGCCTGAACTGGGTGCGGGCTACCCTGTATATGAATTGCATGGTCAACCAGCCTGGGCCTGCAGGTGGTGCCCCAGGCCGTTTCTTGGCCTGTCCTTCAACCCCGTGACCCTGCACATGTGCCGTGCTGGCCTATCCCCTCTACCCTGGCCTTGTGGGGTCGTGCTCTGCTATCTCGAAGGTAGGTGTCGCCCAGCTCACAGCATGCGTTGCCTCTACGTGCCGTGATTGCGGCATGTGGCCTTCATAGCCTTCCGCAACCGACTTTCTATCGCCGCCTTTCTGGAAAAAACACGACACTTGTCTCCACTAGACTCCGTTCGCATTGCCTTCCCTCTCACTCCTTCGATGATTCCGACCTCTGGCTAGTATTCAACTGAGCTCTAGTGTTCACACCCTCCTTACTGTGTAGTCTCAAAGGCGCCGTTTTTCAGCGAGTCAACGAAACCTCACCACCGTAAACCTACTGACCAGCTCCATGCCGATCGTGACTTCGTTGGTGACCGCAGGATTGTGGTCCACGCAGCTTGGTCAAAAAATTCCCACGGCTGCCGACGGCTAGCTACTTACGCACGCCCACAAAGTGCATGCTCACACACTTTCTAATCAAGCTATGCCTGCGTCTGCCGCACTCGACTTCCAAGAGTCAGTTGCGGCTGGCCGACCTATATGTCATCTTCTCAAGTATCATCTTGATCGCACCTTCTGCGAGGTGCACGAAGCACGCACAATTACCCTTGTAAGGGTAATGGTGCCGACAGCGCTGCCAAAATTTCTACAGATCCAAGGAGTTAGTCAAATTTTGACTTGTCGAAGTTCAACTTGTCTTTTCTTTGTATCAGACTTAGTAAAAATCTGGAACGTCCCCTTTTCTAAAAGGAGTGCTGCCCAAATTTTTACTAATTCAGAAAGTTAGACAAAATTGGACTTTGAGAAGTAAAGGTTACTTTAAAATGTAGAACTTAGCCTTGTATAAATTTTGGAATAGCACTTTTCTAAAGAGAGTGCTGCCGAAATTTCTGCAAAACTAAGAAGTTAGTTAAATCTTGTCTAAGTTGAACCCAAGTTCTTTCTTGAGTTCATATCTGACTTAGTACAAACTTGGGAAGTCTCCCTTTCTAAAGAAAGTGCTGCCCAAATTTCTACTACTTCGGGGAGTTAGACATAATTTGACTTTCCAAAGTTACAAAATTATTTATGTTTTCATATTTGGATTTATATAAATTTTGGGAAGACACTTTTCCTACGGGAAGCGCTGACGAAATTTTCTTAGTTTAAAGGAGATAGAGTATATTTTGACAGGTGGTGATTCTGGCGATCCACTCTGTATAGGGGAGATTATACCAGGATCTACCTTTGCTTTAGGCACTGCTTAGAGGTAGACATAGGCTTAGCTACTAGGAGGAACTTTGAGATAGATTGTGGTATGGGGATTATTCTCTAGGGGCTTATGGTTTTAGCCTGGGGCGTTGACCTGTCTTGTGTTACAGACACTTTTGATCGTTTGACTCGGGATTTTGACTAGTTTCAGCTTGATCCTGCGAGAGTCATTTTCTGTTATCACTGATAACAGGTCGGTTGGTTGATCGCCGACTCGTCGGCTCACGACACAACTTTGCTTATACGTATACCTCAACTGATTCCCTTGACCTTGAGACTTGATATCTTTCTTTGAAGGTTTTAACCGGACTTCTTTTAATGACTATCATAAAGAACTTATGAGATTTATGAGAAACTGGACTATGACTAGGGCTTGAGTGTGTGAGGCGTGATGTGAATTACAGGGAACAGTAAAGTTGACCACATTGGTGTATGGCAATGTGGCTATGGCGTGTGCCCGTGTTTTATGCAGGTCATTATTATGGAACTGGTATATGGGTCATGCTTTGGAGGCAAAGAGGATGACAACTATGTGTCACACGATCTGCATACCTGATGGGTTTATGTTTCCCCCTTCTTTCATTGTCACCTCGAGTCCTGATTTGATATACGAGTATTGAGATGCATATGTATTTATTTATTTTGCTTGTTAATTTTTATAGTTGGACGTTGTAGTCCGTGGCAGCCGTCAAAGTCAAACCCCTTGACTTCCGCCCAAGCCTGGGGTAGGACTCGTCCCCAGAGCCGCAAGAGGCGACTGCCACCACAGGCGCGGACCTGTGAACCACCCGCTCTGCACAGGATGCAGAAGAGGGTGTGTGGTCTTCAATCGCGGATGGTGGTTGTCCAACATCGAGAGATTAACCCTCAAGGCGCGAGTCAGCCGACACTTGAGTGTCGAATGCGATCCTCGAGAGTAACGAGGATCGCACGAGTGTGGGTACTACATAGTACGCCATCATTGCGACCGCTTGCGTATGCTTCCATTGCGAGTCGATATGAGTTAGCCCTGCGTCCTCACGGTTTTATACTAAGTCTCGCGCGTGATGCCTATCCGATTTTCGCATCCGAGAGTTATGGGATGGCTACTGAAGGGACTAGGAGTGTTGTCGCGTTGTTTGTGTTGTGTCGTTTCGTATGTGTGTGTGTGTGTGTATTTTATTTTTGTGTCCATAAAGTGGTGTGCGCGTGGTGTGTGGGATGCGTCATAGTCGACCGACGACGAGTCGCGCTTGGGACCTCAGCCCCTCAAGATGTCGGTTCGCGTGCGGGTTCGATAGAGGCGTAATACCGCGCGTACCCCCTATGCTACAGCGAACGAGAAACGTCCTCGGCTGGTCCACCTCTGCGATTGCACCTGCTTCGCTTTTGTACTGTGGACTGGTAGCTCGACGGGGATACACACACCGAAGGGAGACGACAACTCCCGTAAGGTGTAGGTAAGTCGTGCCTCGCGTAGGCCCTATCCTGTCGTAGGGGCTCGCGAGAGGTATGGCTGGCGCACTCGGCCGGAGCGGCTTGCGGAAGCTCAATGTATATTTGCGATGAAGGATTTAGATCCAACTCTTGCGTGATGCGACCGGGAGGGTCCCCCGCTGCCCCGTGCGGTGCCGAACCGATGCGCTCTATAGCGCAGCTGGCGATGACATCAATTCGAGCATCAMGGTGGATCCAAAATGAGCATGAATCTTCTGGTAGAACATAGGTGGATACACTGCTAGTAGTTTAGAGCTTGAAGTGCCCTGTTTCCTGGCCGCGTGTGGGGTGGTACAACCCTCAGGAGCTTGCTATTCGTTTTTTAGGTACAAGAATCTGGGCTCCGTCCAGCGGCCTAGCTCAATTCGTTAGTCACGCAAGCGGCATTTAGGAGGTTGTGGGTTCAATCCCCATGGCCGCCTGTGGCACTCTTGGTGCCA